CAAATGGATAAAACACTTACAAAGATATTATTATACAAATCTATCAATTTTAATATTAAAACAAAGTTGTTATTTTTTTAGTTTGCTTATTAATAAATTTTTAATATAATACTGGTGATTCCGGAATCGGTTCGGGAACCGCCATGTTCCGGAATCAAAAGTTTGGGAATATTTTTTTTATGAAGTTCGGGAACTTGTGTGTTCGGGAACTGATTGGTTCGGGAACACACCAATTTTAAGTTTGGGAATCAGGATGTTCCCGAACCGAGGTTAAAAATATTCCGGAATATTTTTTGATTCCGGAATCGGTTCGGGAATTTGATAAAAAAAATAAAATTCCCCAAATATTTTTTTATTGATTCCTGAAACTTCTGATTCGGGAATCAAAAATATTTCCCAAATGTTTCAAGAAAAGCCGATTCCGGAATCGGTTTCGACTACACTAATTTTGCCAAAACAGTAAAACAAAAATATTTTTAAATAACATTTTTACTGAACAATCTCCAAATTTCAAAACGATAATATCTGATTGAGTTTATGATGAAAAAGACGCCATTAATCATAAAAAACACTAGTTCAAACAATAACAGTTTGTGTTGTTTTTTAGTAATTTTTAAATCAATATCGAATTGAGTAATATATTAACGTTGAATATTATGATAAAGATACTTATTTTTTTGCGAAGGTTGTCGAAGTTAATTTTGTTTAATAAAATTCAAATAAATGTATTATCCACCACATTTGTAAGCGTGTATATTCACGATAAAAACACTCTACGAATTTATGTAAATCGTATTAATGAAATGTGAGTTTGAGTGAAGACAAAAAGCTTATTACAAACGTTCGTCGTCATAGCAAATTGCTGCAAATTATAAAACACTTGGAGATGGTGCAAAATAACAATAATTCGAATATCTTAGTGATTTTTGTTATCATTTAAATATAAATTTTTCTAAAATCATAAGGATAAAAATATACAAAGGAGCTCAAACAGGTTTTTCCTCTTTTTTACTTTTTTTACACTCGGCAAAAAAATAAAACATCAACTTTTTTATTTTTTTCATATAAAACAGAAAAAAGGAAACTCCAACGTGTTAAACAACATTTTATTTTTTAATTTTTTATAGTTGAAATTATAATGCATAATTTAAAGTTTCACTTTTTTATGAAAAAAAACACAATAATGATATTTATAAATTACACATTTTTTTGTTAAATTGGAATGCTAAATGCCTTTTTAACATGGCAGTTAACAAAATGATTTCAAATAAATTAATAATATTTAATAGTAAATGTTTCCATTTTTTGTAACAAACTTTTACAACACAGGTTAGTTGTTATATTTATAATATATTCATTTTTTCCAAATTTGAAAACAAATAAACTTGTCTAAGAAATAAATAGAATTAATTATGAATTAATTAAATATATCTAATTTGTACAGATAGAAGAAAAATAGGGTGTCAGGAATAAATTGGGTATCAAATAAATTAGGGATTAGTTAATGTAAAAAAATGGGTTTCGTTTTTTTTTTATTTTTTTCCCTACCAAAAAAAATATAAAAAACCATTAAATAACTCAAAATCAATCTGACACCCAATTTATTCTTGACACCCAAATTTTATACTATCTGTATATTATTTGAAATCATGTGTAATCTCCTTAAAATTAATCAATTGAGTATTTAATAGTTTAACTTAAACAAGTTTGAAACCCCAATAAAAATATATTCATATTAAACCGCACATAAAATAATTTTTGTTGTTTGTTTATTTATTTCTGCAAAAAAATGATTTAAATAAAGAATTTACAAATACTCGAAAAATAGTACAGCACGGATAATACGACCTGCAAACTATAAAAATGGTTTATAAAAACAATATAATAGTTTTTAAATACAAAATTTGAAAAAATAACACGACAAAAAACACAAAAAAAACTATAATATTTTATAAATTTATGGTTTGCCAATCGTTTTTTTTTGTGCTGGACTATTTTTCGGGTATTTGTAATTTGTTTGTTGTTCTGTTTGGTCAACATTTTTCATAATTAAAAGTTAGTATCTCCTTGACTATACTTCTCAATTCTATAATTGAAATAAATTACATTAAACCAAATGCACATTATATTAGATTATAATTGTTACATTTCTAATCAATAAACACAATAAAAAATACATTTGAATTCTTTTATAGCTTGTTAGAAACAAAGACTTTTTTGAAATTCTGATAGACCCAAATTAATTATTTTTTAAAATGAAAAGTGTAAAATTTCCATAACAATATTTTTCAATTTATTTAACTCAAGTTAACCAAATAAACATTTTATCAGAGTTTAATTGTAATTATCAAATAAAATAATATCAAAATAATTCATTTATATTTTAATAAAATGTTTTAAAAACAAAGACTTCAAATAAACTTATTTATAGTTCTTAAAAACTTAAATTAACGTCTATTGTTTAAAAATAATATAAATAGAATGTTTGGTTGGATATAAAATGTGAGTATTATTATTTAATTGAATCGAACTTTGACCAATCAACCATGACTTTCAACAAGTTGTGTCATTCTTTCATTGTATTAATTCTTATTATTCTGAACCTGGTACCATCTTGTGCTTTAAGATTATTATCCACACAGCCAAAGTTTACAATAGAACACAAAAAAGGTATATATTCTTTAGATTC